GTTGATTCACTTAACAACCATGTTGCTAACTAAACAACTGCAGCGATTCACTTAACAGCTGTGGCAGGAAAGGTTGTAAGATGGTACAAAACCCACTTAAGAACTGTCTCACTTAGCAATAGAAATTTTGGGCTTGATTGTGGTCGTAAGTCAAGGATTATCTGTACCTGTACTTTCTGGTTTAAAGACAATGAGCCTAAAAGTCTAATCGTTACAGAATTGTAAGAGGGGGCTTGTATTTCCTTTCAGTGAGATTATGTTGGAGAAAACCTACGCAAACCTGCCCTTAGAAAGTTGTGTTGTGTTTGAGGGAGTCAATATCTTCCTAGCATTACCCATCCATCCCTGGAGGGATATAAGCCCTCATTGTACTACTTTGGGGAAGTATAACAATGGGAGATGATTTTGGAAGATGCTCTAGTTGGGTGGATGCCAGAATTACAGGGACTCCCTGTTAACACAACTCAATCAAAATAGAGCTGGAAGGGACCTTGGAGATCTTCTAGTCCAGCTCCCTGCTCAAGCAGGAGACCCTCTACCATTTTAGACAAGTGACTGTCCAGTCTCTTCTTAAAAACCTCCAATGATGGAGCACTCACAACTTTTGAAGGCAAGCTCTTCCATTGGTTAATTATCCTCACTGTTAGGAAGTTTCTCTTTAGTTCTAGGTTGCTTCTCTCCTTCATTAGTTTCCAATCATTGTTTCATGTCCTCCCTTCTGGTGCTTTGGAGAATAATTGACCCCCTTCCCTTTGTGGCAGCCCCTCAAATACTGGAATACTGCCATCATGTCCTCCCCCCCACCCAGTCCTTCTTTTCTCTAGATTTGCCATACCCAAATCCTGCAACTGTTCTTTGTATCTTTTTGTCTCCAGGCCTTTAATCCTTCTGGTTGCTCTTCTTTGTACTTTTTCCAAAGACTCAAAACATCTTTTTTGTAATGTGGTCACCAAAACTGGATACAGTATTTCTGGTGCGGCCTTACTAAAGCTTTATAAAGCGGTACTATTAGTTCAGGTGATTAGGACCGCTTTATAAAACCTTAATAACTCCATTGGCTGTGGATGCATTTCCAAACAGGCTTCACAGAACTCACTTTGTTTCCATTCCATTCAGTTGTCAGGATTTAAACTGGACCAAACTGAGTCATCCATCGGTCGAAAAAGCAAGGATAAAGTCTCCAGGCCGGTGTCTTCTTTAGCCTACATCTGTCCAGAGGGCCTGGCCTCTTTACACCACCCATACAACTTGGCTAGTGAAATATACAGGTATGTCTGTATCCTGCCTCTTCGCAGCTATGAAGAGCTATGTGGGGTCAACACATCGTTTTCTGGAGCTCAGTATGGCCTCGGTTTAATGGGGTCAGTTTCAGACCGAATTCTGCATTGCTATGTCATGTTGAACTTGATCAATTTTAAATTGGATTAGGATTGCCAGTGGATGCCCGTCTGTATGTGGTTTAGCCTTTTCCATTAGAATTCATAAGGTTGTGGGAGCACAGAAAATGGGTTAATTCAGTATCAAGGTTAAAGTGTGTTGTGCAGAGAGCCAGCAATCTATGGCAACATGTCCCTCCCTTGTCTCTCCAGGGGCCGCTTTGAGAAGAGCAGCCAAATATCTGTAATTTCTGTGGCATTGAAACTCCCTCAGTTTCCTTTCTGGAGATTCCCTTATGTGAGCAGTAATGAAAGGAGGAAGTGGCAAGAGTTCAGATGTCATACTCAATTTCTTTAACCGTGACTTGACTAAATTCCAATAGTTGTGTATGCCCGACATATTAAGTTATAAACCTTGAACTAATGATTATGGTGCCTGGATTCACACAATAGGCCACTTTTGAGGCTTAGTGGGACATGTGAACTCAGCTTTCCTTGAGAAATGAATCTGCAGGAGTGCCACTGTCATGGCTGGTGGCCCACTGTGGAGGCTGGATCTTGGGGAGTAGGGGAGGAAGGCTTCCCTTGAGCGGGGGCACCCCAAAAGGCATTCTGAAGATATCAAAACCCCTAGTTAGAACTGACTCTGCCCTAGTCGCAGGCTGCCATCTTGAAGGAGAGGGGTAAAAAAAGGGCAAAATGCCATGACCCACCCTTGGTGTCCTTCAAGGTGGGTCTATGGGCCATGAATCCCAGAGTGGCTCCATCCATACCACACATCAGCCATTTGCTTAACCATGATTTATTGAATAGGCCACTGTTAGCTAGCTTTGCAAACCATGAAAGGCCTAAAAGCTTTCAACAGAATCTACTAAGCCGTGATGTGGTGATGTTTGGTTGGAGACTGAATAGTATTGTGCAGATCTGGCCAATGTGTCAGGGCCCACTCAGATGGGCCACCCCGTGGCTTGATAATGGCAGGGAAGGAGCTGCCATCTCTTGGCCCCCTTGTGTGACAGCTCCTGCCTTCCTTTCTTTCAGCTTTGGGATTGTGCTATGGGAGATCGCAACTGGGAAGCTCCCCTTTACAGGTGAGGCCTGGGCTCTTCTCTGGGGAAGGTCTGGGTTCTTCTCTACGGGGGAGGATGCTGTAGGTAAAACAGAAGGGTACAGTTTCATCTTGTGGCACAACCACTGTGTAAAACAAAGAACTGTGGGGATGGAAGGGACTTTGGAGGTCTTCTGGTCCAGCCACCTGCCAAAATGATACTATCCTTGAAAAAAGGTAGTCCAATATTTTCTTGAAAACCTCCAGTGATGGAGCACCCAAATTTGAGAGGCAAGCTCTTCCATTGTTTAATTGCTTTCTTAGTCAGAATTAATTCCTCCTGAATTCTAGGCTGGATCTTTCTCTAATGATCTTCCACCCATTCCTTCTTGTCCTGCCTTCAGATGTTTTGGAGAGCACGTCCATCTTCTCTTCAGCAGTCCCTCAAATATTGGAAGACAGCTATCATGTCTCCCCTAATCCTTCTCTAAAGGGGTGTGTGTGTTTCTCATGGCATTCCCCCGCGCAGGGCTCCTTAACCTTGACAGCTTTGAGATGGGTGGACTTCAGTTCCCAGAATTCTCCAGCCAACCATGAATTCCATCCATCTTAAAGTTGAAATGTGGGAGTTGAAGTCCACACATCTTAAAGTCGTCCAGCTTGAGAAACACTGCTTTGGGGTTTCTTACAGTAGGCTGCCATTGAACAGTTCTCAAGGTTTGTCTTCCTGCTGATTAGTGGAAGAGGGCCGTGTCCCACTCCCCTATCAGGAATGCCATATCCTACTTCTCCATTGGTGGGGAAGAAGGAAAGCTGAGGGATAAGGGAAGATAAGAGATAAGGGGAACTGCTCTCCTGCCCAAGGGTCTGGTCCATGCTGATAAAGAGCCCTCTGGCCCTTCCTCTTGCCGTGGTCTCAGCTCAGCAGTTGGAGATGGAGCACAGGCAGAGAGGGCCAGGGACACTGATTCCAGAGCAGCCCAGAATGGCTGTGTTGGAGGCTCCTAAAATGGAGGCGTTTTGAATCAAGAGCCAGTAGAAGTGAAACCTGGGATCAAGGACTTTCCCAGATCTTGGGTTGAGGAAGTTGGATTTTCTGAATCTGCACAGGAGACTTCCTGTGCAGATTCCCAGAACTTCCTTTTTATCTGCAGAGACAAAGACCAGCTGGCTACAGTTTGGAGTGATTCATTGCTCCCCCCCCCACCCCTTGTCTCTCTTCCACATCTGCTGCTCTTGGGCAGGTCAAGCCCTTTTTTTTTGCAGCAGTCAGGAAAGATCCCTCTTTCAACACACCCTAAGAGATATGATCCCAGACAATGATCAGCCGGGCTTTGCTTAAGGACTCTCCCTGATTTTTTTTGCCTTTACAAATACAGATGTCTGTCGTGCGGCCAATAAAATTGTTACTGGAGTCTTGGAAAAGTATATGAAAAGTCCAGGTAGAGGCGCAGAAGGCAGCAATAAAAAATAAAATTCAGGAAGACCTCAGTGGCTCGGGAGATTCTCAATCCCCAACCTCCAGTCCTTCTGATGCGCCCTAAAAAGTTGGCTTTTCCAGCAAACCGGCCTGGCCTGAACAAAATAAAATAAATGTTTGATTATTGTTAATTTTAATCAATTTTAAAAATTTTTTATTGTTAATCTTAATTGGGTTTGTTTTTTGGATACACTTTTTTTTTTAACTTTTGTAATATGTGTTTTTTTTAATGTTGTACACCACCCTGAGTCCTTGGGAGAAGGGCGGCATATAAATCCAATAAACAAACAAACAAACAAACAAACAATCATCCAAGTCATAGTTGCCCTGAAAGTGGCCCAGTCAGTAGTGGGCTGCAGACCCCCCAGTTGGGGACTCCTGCCATATACGACTTCAGACAATCTGTATAATCTCTTTTTGAAAAACTCCCATGATGGAGCAGTCACAATTTCTGGATGCAAGCTCTCGGTATGCCTATCTATGTGAAACCTTGCAACCTCTCTGATTGTGATTCTAGGCTGCAACTCTCAAGAAATCTATGAGAAGGTTCATAAGCAAAAAGTACAGGAGCCTTTGTCAGAAGACTGCCCGCCCTATTTACGGGAAATCATCAACCAGTGTCGCAGTTATAACCCTTCCAAGCGCCCAACTACTGAAGGTATGAGAAAGCAGCAGGCATTGGGATGCGTGGTTGGGGTAACACATTTCACTAAGCCATAATTTGCTTTTAGTTAGGGTTTGATGCGTAACCTGTAACTAGTTTTGTATATAATGCAACACTAAACGGTGCACCAATATTGGGGTATTCGGGGAGCAATGAATCCAGACATAAGTACTCTGGGCTCACACTTCCTTATCTCACTAGCTGTCAACTCTTCCAGCCTGGTCAGTTAGGAAAGAAAGAAAGACTCCTGGCCCATAATTAGCTAAAAGTATACATTACTAAAGCCAAAGTGGTCCTAGCAGACGCAAAGCTGGATCTGAAATTTTCACGAACAAAAGATACCGTTAACTTTCCCTTGTTCCTGGCCAACTCCCTGATTATCAGCCAATGTCCAGTTAACACTTTGTTTGGGAAATATTCTGTGCATGCGCATGGCTCCACATTCCTTTGGTGTGACCTTGAGACAGTTGGCTTCCCAGAGGATGGGATGGCTTGCTTTTGATTCATCTGGGTTCTGAATGTAAAGTGGTGTATAAGTCTAACTGCTATTGCTATCCCTTCCCCCACTGCTCCCTCCCCCGGTTACTGATGTCAGGCTGTCAGCTTGCGATGCGCATCTTAGCAGAATGGCAGCAATGACACCAGCAAAGATGGAATTGCTACTCATTTATTAAGCAGACAAATGGCACCATGTTTTGAAGGCTGAGCTACAAAACTGAGGTAGGAAGATTTCTGAAAACTGATTTTTTTTTCCTTTGCAGTTATTGTGAACCAACTCCTCATTGACCAGGATGATAATGGCAGCAACTTCATGAGTGAAAATCAGTGATTGTGGGAGATACGTTCTATCATCTGAACTGTCTCTCTTTTTTCCTACGTTGTTAAGTAAGCTCCCCGTTGGAAGAGTGAGTGCGTTCAGAGAAGCGTTGTGAGAGTTGTGTTGGAGAACACANAAAAAAAAAAGTTTTTTATTTTTTCTTTCAAATTCATTCTTAAATATACATTCTTATAATTGCTATTTAACATTTGTCAATTAATATCATGTTTCTGCCTGTATATTTACATTTTCATACTTTCTTATTTCCCTTCCCCCTGATTTAATAATGAGTTATTTGTTTTGTGCTTTGTTCCTTTCTGTTTGTATCTTTTTTCAAGCCAATCATAAAATCGGCCCCATGTCCTGTAGTAGACTTATTCCTCTTTGTCCTTTATTCTGAATGTCAACCTATTCATTTCTGCACAATCTAATATCTCCTTTATTATCTCTCCTTCTGATGGGATTTTGTCTGCTTTCCAATTTTGTGCAAATACAATTCTAGCTGCCAGTTGAGTCATGCTTTGTTCACAGGATTGTTCCTTCCTTGCAGCCATGGAAATCGTGGATCGCATTCTAGCCGTTGCGAATGTCATCTATGGGCAATATCAGCACATGAAGTACTGCAAGAAGCAGAAAGAGCGCCTTGTCAAGCGCATGGAGGTCCTCCTGAGACCTCTTGCGCTCCTCAAGGCTCAGCCCCCCAGCAAACTGTCCTCCAGTCTGACATGGATGCTGCAGAGCATGCTGGACCTTTTGCTTGAAGCCCACGGACTCTTTGAGAAGTACAAAAACCATAACATGCTGGAGAGGTTCATCAAGGCTGGGGAGATGCTGGAAGAGTTTGCAAACCTGAATGAGCGCTTTGGCGATACGGGCCAAGGACTTCTGCTGCAGCTCCAGGTGGAGCAGAAGGTGCTAGTGAACTTCCAGAAGTGCGTGGTGAGCAAGGAATGCTGCCAAGATCTGGCGGAAGACAAAGTTTGCTGGAAGGAGATGGCCAAAGGTAGGGCTATGTTTTGGGTAGGGCAGGAGACCTATGGCTGTCCAGTCTCTTCTTCAAAAACCCCCAGTGATGAAGGACCCACAACTTCAGAAGGCAAAGCTGTTCCACTGGTTGATTGTCGTCACTGTTAGGAAGATTCTCCAGGTTGCTTCTCTCCTTGATTAGCTTCCATCCATTGTTTCTTGTCTTCACTAATCTAGTGAAGAGAAGGACCAGGGAAGACATGATAGCAGTTTTCCAATATTTGAGGGGTCCATCTGTTTTCCAAGGCACCTGAAGGCCAGACAAGGAATAATGGACGGAAACTGATCAAGGAGAGATTCAACCTAGAAATAAGGAGAAAATTCCTGACAGTGAGAACGATCACCCTATGGAACAGAAGTTGCCTTCAGAAGTTGTGGGAGCTTCATCACTGGAAGCTTTCAAGAAGAGACTGGACTGTCATCTGTCAGAAATGGTGTAGGGTCTCCTGCTTGGGTGGGGGTGGGAGATGGTGGACTAGATGACCTACAAGGTCCCTTCCAACTCTGTTAATCTGTTCTATTCTATTCTATTCTATTC